CCTTATCCTCAAAAGGCCGGCAACGAACTTGTAATTCCTTTGGTGTTGCGGGTGTCCATACACAGCGCAAATTGCTTACCGTCAGATAATCTGTCTGCTCGTATGACCTATGTCATAAAAAATAAAATTACCACAGGAAAGCCGCTGGCAGAAGTTAGCTAGTGATTTAAGTAAGAATGAATTATTACATAATGATAGATTTGTTTGTAGAACTAAGTTGTTCGTGTATAATGACGCTGTTACCGCACACCGCGATGACAATACAATTACTGAGCGTATTTGTGTTCATGTAATATTAACGGACGGAAAAGCGGACGCTTTTACAAACAATTTCAATTCAAAAGGATTTTTCCTGAATGGTTTATTGTTATAAATAGATTTTATAGAGTTCGGTTTTATTACTTACTTACAGATCACCGAATAAATGCTATCTTTTTTCATGTTTCTTTTTAAAATTAGTTTCTTTGGTGGTTTATTGTTACATAGGTTGTCCTATGCATATATATGCATAGGCCTATATATGTTTAATAAAAAACATGAGAAAAGTACACACATTAAAATACCACCGACTGTTTACTAGTTAACACATTATGGCTCCCATGTAAAAGATACATTCGCTATATAGGCAGTTCATATCTTCACCAAAGCAAAATAGGTTCACTAAGAAAGAGGACTGACCGACAGACTGATACTTTATATCTTTAATATTTTGTTTGACGTTCAAAAGTGCCTGTATGGGTCTAATTGAAATAAATGATTTTGACGTTGTCATATCACTTTTATAAAACATATTTGTGTGAAATATGAAACAGACATAGTTTGGAACTCGAGAAAGGACATTGGATAGTTTTTAAACCAAAAAACCTACAAGAAGTCACTATTCCACGCGAACAAAGTCGCGGGCAAAAGCTAGTAATAGAATATGAAGGTACTTTTCTGGACCAGAATATTTAACTCAAGACTATTTGGAAGTGCCACACATGACAAATGGGCCAACAAGGCGGTTAGTTAAAAACTAACCCTAAATATATGTACATGCGACCTTTTTTACATTTCACCAATTCCAAATGTACTGGTAAGATAAAATGTAGGTAGATAATGCCACATTTTAATTTATCGTACCGTCGCTCCTACCGTAGATATGCTTTAACTACATTTGAATAGGGAAGGGCTCAATGCCAACAATTGAATTTATATGGCAGGCCTTCGGTGTTGCAACAAAGGGCTCGGGTCGATAGATTCTAGGGCGCAAACAAAAAAAACCAGTTAGATTGATGTTGCTTCGCTTTCCACGCAGAATGAGTGGTGGGGCGGGCGCTTATCGATGTATATTGTAGTATAGATAGTTAGCCACTGATAGTGCTTAGGAGGTCTAGGGTTCCTGTGATTAGTACAGGGCCATACATTTGCTTAGTGGAGTAGGAAAGAGTTTGTACATTCACATGTAAGCGACGATAAAGGATTTCATATTTTTTATAAGCTTGTTCTTTTAATTGTTCTTACATAATTACATATTTATGTGTACAATAATGAATTGGTGAGAATTTTATTTAAGTTTTCTCCATTCGTATCCCCCCACCGTTTTATACGATCACCTACATAGCTTTTCTGACGAACATACACATACTTTGCTTCACTGGTAACAGGTTTAGTTGGAATGTATTTGACATTGACTTTGCTTTTGAAGTTTTTTATTTTTGGATTCCCAACAATGTTGCTTGCATATGGAATTGCGTCCAGTGTTTGTATGGCATTTATTAGGTTGGAATGTCATCTAACTTTAAGTATATTTTATGTTACTGATACTTTAGACCCTGTGCAACTCTTCCCACGACAAACTACATAGAATTGACGGACATCAATCAACATCGCTCTCTTGAATTTTATAAACTGGAATTTGCAATCCTCCCGCTCAGCATGGATTACGGATAACTCGAGAGAAGCTCTTCTGTTTAGAATTGGATGTTACGGGCGTTTGTTGATGTTGTCGGCAGAACTTGAAGAAAGTGATAATCCTTCTAATCCTACTTCTATTATAATGGCGAAAGTTGGAAAAGAAGGATAGACAGATAGATGCTGTAACAAGCATCTATCTATCTATCTTTCACGTAAAAACTACTTACTAATCGATCGAAATAAAATTTGGCACAGATATAGTTTGGAATAACACAGGCTGTGACGGGATTGCTTAGTGACCAAACTTAGTGCATAATTTGTCTCGATTGTTTTATTGTTATTTTTTAATTTTATTTTATTGTTCCGCATTATTGTAGTTATTTTCTTCCCACTTTTTAAATGTTTCTATAGTTTTTAATTGTAATATACTAACTGTTGTCGTTAAGTTACAGAGCACGTTGTGATGCTTTTAAATGTTGTACATTTGATTTTATTATTACTTAAGTTTTTAGAGATAAGTTTAAATGTTACAACTATTAGTTGTCCAAAAAAATAAAAAAAATAAAATACTCTTCACCCTATAAATTGGAACAAAATAAGAAAATAATTCAAAAGTAAATTGTTCCACAATAAATGTATAATTTATAAAAGTGTAATAATCAAACTCTGAAATGATAGTTAATGTTAAGGCAGTACGGAATTAGCCAGATCAGCTAGTTTTACTAACGCAGAACTTTGCAAGAGTGGATGGATAAGTGGTTGTTACTCGTTCACGTAAAAACTACTAAATGTATTTAAATGAAAATTGAGACAGAGATAGTTTATAGTTTGTGATAGGCTACTCTTCATCCGGCAAACGCGGTTAATGTCGCAAGCAAAAGCTAGTGTTGGATATGGTACCTCATTAAAAATATACTACATAACCTTTCCTCTTTGGGGTGTAAACAGTAGGTATGATATTCCATTTTGTTACCTGAGTGGTTCAGTCTCGTGGGAACGACGGCAGCAGGTACTTTGAGTTCTCGAACATTGACATGATGTGTGTCGAAGTAAGATTGTACTAAATAATTTATTAAGTAATCAACACTACTCTATGCCCCAGTTTTTAGGCCTACATGCCTTGGTTTAGAGGTAAGAAGCGTTGTTCGATTTTCAAGTTTAATCTAGTGATGTAATCAATACATCGTATGAAACATAGTCGCTTGCTCTGTCCCTATATTCCAATGTGCGCTTAAATCTTTAAAAGTACGTAACGGATTTTGATCATCGCAAGGTCTTCGTTAAATTCAAACTCATGAAAAACTTATAATTAGAAAATTATATCTCCAGGTTTCCTCACGATGTTTTCTTTCGCTGTAGATACGCTAACCTTAGAAAGTACATTTATGTAACTCGCAAAAGTTACACATCAATACTTGCTAGGTGCTAGTGCTTGCGGTGATTGTAGGCTTACCAGGTGACTACGACTTATTTAACGATGTTATTCCACCACCATCGGAAACTTAGGTACATCACGTACGTACGACAGATTAATAAAATAAACTTGGCAGATATTTTTAACATAATTAATATGGGGTTATTATCCACGTGGAGACACTAACCCCATCATAGCTTGTAGGTACTATCTACAAACATATTATATAAATAAAAAAATAGTTATGAAAAGTCCCGAGCAGCAGCAAAAAACAGCAGATTGATGTAAAGAAATACGTTCTATTTTTGAAATTCAAAAATATATCTTGTATAGTAGCTAAGTATGTTTAAAAAAATAATTACCTACGAAAACTCCTGAGTAATCAACTAAGCCCTATTTAAAAAGAGAATGGCATATAGATAAAAAAAAATACGTTCTATTTTTGAATTTATTTCGTATATAGTAGGTACCTATGTTCTTACATGAGACTCACCGCCTCGTCCCAAGCTCAGTGATGTCGTTTGAATAAGTTCACTCCGCCGGAGTACACTCGCGTAGAGTGCACAGTTACTGCAACTTAATGGGGCTGTTACTTATAATAATGTTAAATACTTTTTGCACTCACTGTGTTTCAAAGTGCAGGTTTTTCATGTTAGAAGTTTGGTATAATAAGTTTTGTTTGCTTAGTAATATTCCGCTTTCGTTTTTTATCTAAGATTCTGACTACCGACAGGAATTTGTTAAACTTAAAACCTGCTTATATCGGCGAACATTGATCGCGTTCACGGAGAAGGTTTTATTAAGTTTTTACATAAGTATCTATATAAAGGGTAGCTTTAGTATCATGTTACCGGCAAAGCACATGAACGCAGACTTATAATGACGACGTCGCTAAGAACAAGAAAAAAACATCACAGACATAAATTTTTGAAAGAAAAAAGAAAAAAGTCTTCCATAGATTTGCTACTGGTCAATAAAAGTCGGGTCTCACGCCCAAAACCTTATCTAACCAACATTACGTGTCCGAAGTTCTGTATAAGAATTCTAGTATTTCTGTCTAAGCCTCTCCTGTCTGCTCTTTTATCCAGGTTCACGTACACCTGGTCTTCAACTTTTATACGACTCAGTAAGCATACAGGTCAAGTTATACTTTCTTAAGTCCATTTAGAAGCCTTTCTTCGTTCGATAGGATTACGTCAAGCAATCGGAATTAAAGTGTGCTATGTGCTCTAAGTGCTAACGTACGCACGTATCGATAGTACTCACAATTATTGTAGGCAATTCCATTTGTCAGGGTTTCAATTTCTTCTGAAGATTAGTAAAAGTAATTAAAATCCTTAAATTGTAGTATTTAAGGACTATATTTAAATAATCTATGTTTAATCCCAACTTAAGTGCGTGTTACGCAGAATTCCGATGTCACATTGTACAAAGCTACGCTCAAATAAAGATGCTAAGATGGTACTCACCTACTGATTGTTACGCAAGAAGCTCGTCACATCACCAATTTATTATTGCGTCCTAAATTAATTCTATTTTAACGACTACCATCAAAAAGTTTATCAAAAATTAACACTGATTCAATATAATATCATACATCACAGCACTCTAACAGGCATTGTGTCACTGGCACACGAAATAAATAAAATGGATAAAAGAAAACTGTTTCCAATAATGGCGGATTCACTTTTTAAATGAGAAAATTGCGCGGGTTTTTGTCATTGGTTGGTATTATTATTGATATTCTGTAGTTTTTGGTAGAATTAATTTGTGTGGATGTTAAGAAGTCGGCGTAGCGCGGAGCGCGTGCATTCGGCCGCTCGGGCTGGGGCGGCGGTGTGGCGCCGTATCGACGGGGCGCGCCGGCGCGGCCGTTGCACCCCTAAACCCAGGGACGCATTTGAAACACAAAATTAAAAAAAGTCAAAAAGTTTATTTCATTTTTACTTTCACAAATTAAATGCTGTCTTTTGAATTAATAAACTGTAATCTGGAGGAAACTTGATATAGGTCTTTTGCCTTAAAAAAAATTTTAATCAGTATTATTTATTTGTAAGTTTTAATAATAAAATTAGTAACAGATATCATTTAGGAGTTCCTTTCTGGAGATTAAGAGAAACTTTTAATCAATTAAATCGTGACTATACGCATTTTCCACATTAAAAATCTAGAAAGGGTAACTTAAGTTGTACATTGTATTTGTTACTAAAAGTTATCTTAGAAGCATTAATGATGATTGATTGATTGATGAATGGAGGGTGACGCATCCTGACCTGGAGTGGAAGGAGGTTCAGCGGCGTAAACATAGAAATAGACAGGAAGGTGTTAAAGGCAAGGCAGTCATCAGACCAGATGACAAATTTAAGCCGGCTGAAATAAAATTATGCCTGTTTTTGTCTAACGTGCATAAAGATACATCAGAAAATGATATAGTCGATTACATATTTACTAAAACGAAAGAGACGGTATATATACAGAAGATTAAAATGAAAACTGATAAACCATATAACGCTTACAAATTAACTGTGAATAAGAACGCCTTAAATATGTTTTTGAATACTGAAGTCTGGCCTAACGGTGTTACCTGTCGGCGCTTCAGACCGTACAGAACTACCGTAAAAATCGGCGAATAAACATAACACTTAAATATGGATATACACACCTCGAATATTATATCATTTAATTGTAAAAGTATAAAACGTTCAGTTGATGGCGTCAGGGAACTGTGCGATATTGCTGATATTATTGCGTTGCAAGAAACATGGCTTTTGCCGCATGATCTTCCCTTCCTCGACACAATTCATCCAGACTTCGGCAGTACCGGTACATCGGCGGTGGACACAACGGCTGGCATGGTGAAGGGCAGGCCGTATGGTGGCGTAGCACTACTGTGGCGCAAGTCAGTGTTTAAAAATGTGTCAGTGTTAACATGTGCAAATCCGCGAATCTCAGCAATACGTATTGCAATGAAAGACTGTTATGTATTAGTGCTAAGTGTATACATGCCCGTCGATTGCAGTGAGAACTTACCTGAATTTACTGACTGTTTAGGTGCTATTAGTGCAATAATACAGGATAATAATGTTGAATCAGTATTTGTGTTAGGTGATTTTAATGCGCATCCTGGTGAAAGATTTTGTGATGAGCTCCTTTGCTTTTCACAAGAGCAAAGGTGGATTTGTGCAGATCTCAACTACCTTAATTCACAAGGCGCTTTTACTTTTATTAGTGAGGCACATTACAGTAAGAGGTGGTTGGACCATTGTATTGTTACTCAGGCAGCTGCTCCATGTATAACAGATATATATGTAAAACATGATATCTATTGGTCTGATCACTTTCCGTTAGTAATTAAGTGTAATTTTAATGTAATCTTAAGTAAAATTTCTATTCAAGTCACATCGCATAATAAAGTACGTTGGGGGGATAGAAATGGATCTCAAATTAATTTATATCACAATTTATGTAATTCTAAGTTAAAAGATGTTGACTTTCCGATAGATTTTCAACACTGTAGTGGTAAGCATTGTAGTTTATATAGTCATAAGCAAATTATAAACAAAATTTATATTATTATAGTAGAAATATTATCCGAGGCGGCTCGCGCTTCCTATTATGTACCAAATAAAAAGAGTCGTAGAAAAATGTTAGCGGGATGGAATAATCATGTGAGCGAGGCTTACAGGACTGCTAGGCTAAAGTTTAGAACATGGGTTCTGAATGGTAAACCAACACAGAATGTTATATTTAATGAAATGATTCAAGCACGTAAACAATTTAAGAGTAAACTAAAATGGTGTCAAAACAACCAAGACCAAATAAAAATGGATATATTAGCCAAGCACCATACAAGTTCAAATTTCAAAAAGTTCTGGAAATGTACTAATAGTGCAAATACTAAGCCTAGTATTCCTGTAAGTGTCGATGGTCTCTCCACTCCAAAGGAAATAGCCAACATGTTTAAGGACTATTATTCCATAAAGTCTCCGCTGGGTCCGGCATGTCGGGGGCTTGACGCCTGTCACACCGACATTACCACCGTCGTACTTGCAAAGCAAATTAAAATTGCTATTACTAAAATGACAGGCGGTAGATCCCCTGGCTATGACGGACTCAGTGTTGAACATCTGAAATATGCTGGCCGGCATCTCCCTCGGGTGCTTGCCATGTTATTTAACTTATGTATAAGTCACGCATACCTTCCTCATGGTTTGATGCGGACATTGGTGGTGCCCATACCTAAAAATAGGACAGGAGATATGGCAGACAAGACAAACTACAGGCCAATTTCTTTGGCGACCATTGTTGCCAAGGTGCTTGACAGTGTGCTCAACTCACATTTCACCAAACACATACAGCTACAAGACAACCAGTTCGGATTCCGACCTGGGTTGTCAACAGAAACCGCTATTTTTAGTTTGAAGCACACTGTCAAGTACTACACAGACAGACGTACTCCTGTGTATGCCTGTTTTCTAGACCTTAGTAAAGCCTTCGATTTAGTTTCATATGATGTTCTGTGGCAGAAGCTGAAAGGGACTGGGGTTCCGCCGGAGTTGGCGTCACTTCTGAGGTATTGGTATCTTAATCAGGAAAATAATGTGAAATGGGCGGGTGAACTTTCGGAGGCGAGCGGGTTGGAGTGTGGGGTGAGGCAGGGGGGTTTGAGCTCACCCATTCTCTTCAATCTGTACGTAAATGCTCTGGTTGAGGAGCTCAGCGGCATGCATGTCGGCTGTTATGTTGATGGTGTCTGCTGTAACAACTTCAGCTATGCAGACGACATGGTGCTGCTGGCACCGTCGGTTGGGGCTCTCCGGAAATTACTCGCAGTTTGTGAATCTTTTGTCGCCTCCCATGGACTTTCTTACAATGTGAAAAAGACTGTTTACATGGTTTTCAAATCGGATCACAAGAATCCGCCTATTCAACCGATTGTCTTGAATGGTGTTTCCTTAAATAGAGTATCTCAATTTAAATATCTTGGGCATTGGGTTACTGATGATTTGAGAGATGATGTTGATATGGAGAGGGAGCGCAGAGCATTGTCGGTTCGGGCGAATATGTTGGCACGCAGATTCTCTCGTTGTGCAGACGCAGTTAAAATAACTTTGTTCAAGGCGTATTGCACCTCACTGTACACGGGAAGTCTGTGGGTTAACTACACCCAGAGAGCATACAATGCTCTGAGGATCCAGTATAATAATGCGTTCAGGGCACTGTTGCGGCTTCCACGTTTCTGTAGTGCGTCAGCAATGTTTGCTGATGCTCACACAGATGGATTCGCTGCTTTATGGCGTAAAAAGACCGCATCGCTCATCAGTCGCCTGCGTGGAAGTCGCCACAGTATCCTGACTGCTATAGCCGATAGACATGATTGTCCATTGATGCGGAAATTAGTGCAGCGGACAAAGTCCCTGTTTACTATTGAATATTAATATTGTACCTATACGATTGTTCTTTCTGTTTATGATTGTTCTTACTTCACTGTTATTTTCATGGATCTCAGTTATCTGAATAAATAAACTTTATTATTATTATTAACAATTTGTATTGTTTTTTTTGTCTTAATTACTCTTAAATCTCAAACTCTTCTGCTTTTGAAACCGATGATTATGCAATTTTGTTTGTTTGACGATTTTTATGTTGACATGTAATACCCCTGGGTTCACACATATGTTACTTTTCATCAACAGAGCACGCGGACGAAGCCGCGGGCGTAACCTAGTAAATAAATAAAATATGTATAGAAGAGACCCCCAAGTTGGGGCCCTGTTGTCTGAAAAACTACGGAGGCTCTACTCGCAACGGAAACGTACGACCGTCCCCGAAGTTTGCCGACGCCCAACCTGTCTGAAGTTGTTACGGTGGCCAGTATAACATAGACTCTACCCCCGCTCTTAAAATGTCCTTTATAAGGTGCAAAGAACGTAATAATATTTGACATTAGGGTTCCTTTTATTGTGGTTCGTTCCAACGGGGCATGCGCGCCACACATCGATGGATCGGGCAAAGCCAGGTGCTTGCGAGATACTTGTCGTTTATTGTGTTATAAATATCATAAAATTTGGATAAGGTCCAATTTTAGATGTCGTTATAGGAAAAGGATTTTGTGTTACAGGGTGTTTAGGAGTATGGGTCTGTACAATACATTGCTATAGCTCTTTCTCTATACTAAAATGCTGAATATTTCACAGGTTAGGTAACAATTTTTCCTTTGCTTCTCTTAAACTGCAATCTTCTCAATGGCCGTGTAAACAGTCTGCGAATTATTGTAACAATTTCAAGTAAAGCCTGCACAATGTTTCTGTGTAAATTTTCGCAGCGGTTCAGTTGCATGAAAAATTAATTTTATAGCGTACCTAGTTACTTACCACTTCACTTTGTAAGATTTATTTTTTGCTTGGCAACTCCAGCGATAAGGGTTGCCAGTGGATTAGTAACGTAATTAAAAACGTTCTTTTGATTAACTTTGCTCGAATCGCAAGCTCTGATTTTAAAGTCTTTGAGAAATGTCGTTCTTATAACTGGTTATTACGTAAAACATTACGTTTACTGTTACCCAATTTTCTGTTTGGGGAATCTTATGACTTCTTTCACCCAGAGTTAGGCGAGAGTAAGTGTCAGACTCTTATTGACTAAAACTCCCCCCCGTTCCTTCTTGTGCTCTAGGCCGAGGTTGCGGTGCCTCATTGCGCCAACCCAGCAACCCCGGTTAAACATCAGCCCTTTAGAGCCCCGTCTGTAATGGTCTATTGGCTCTTTGAGGCGCGCGTGGAACGCTACACGCCGTACGCTTGGGTCTGGTTTTGGTCGGGCGGCGAGCTACCCTTACTCGCCCACCGCAGACCCGTGCTTACGGTGGCCGGAGATCGTCAAATG